TAGAAGCCCATTAAGTATTTACACGTGTCAATCATGTGCGCTTCAACCAGCTGAATTCTTCAGGCCGGAGAATTTCGAACCGGAATTAAAATCCGACAAGCGGAATAACCGGTCGCGGATCGGAGGGTATGAATGTAATTTCACCGTGATTTTGTAAACTATATTATATCTCGATATTATTAATAATAAATATTAAAATCCACAGTAGCATGAAAATAGCTGAATGATTTTTAGTTACCCCTGAAATCAATTTTGATCATTGTTAGAAACCATATATCAACATAATGTCCAACAATAGCTATAATTAACTATATATATATATATATAATAATATTCTGCCAAATGGATCATCCGCATGTATTGGCCCACCTCATTCAAGGACCAACGTATAAACCCGTACAGGGTAAGGAGTGAAAAAATGTTAACTATCCTAACTCGCACGGTGAAATAGAATTTGGACCAACAGCCCTTTGGTAATTTTATTTTGGATTATGTAATAGATTAGAACCTCTAATGATAAGTCCCATACCGACCGAACCCAAAAAGCGACGGAATTAGCGAAAACTATATAATATAACCAACTGTCTTCTAAAATTCATACAAATAATTTTGATCCAAGTTATCAGTTATCAATAGATATAGTGACAGACATCGCATTAAAAAAAAAAAAAAAAGCTGCCATTGCACTTTAGGGTTGGTGGCCATTACGATCGAATAAAATATCTGTCGAACTTGACAAATTTCTATGCCTATCACATCACATGTTCTCTCAGAACTCAATAATAATCTAAAAGTGGATAGAGGCTGCTTGAAGCCCATGTAGATGAACCTTTTATCTTATTATATATACACACACAAATAATTGATATAGAGCCGTTGCTAATTAGTAATACTACAGTTATTAATATAGATAATTCCATCTAAATCAATTCCAATTTTTCGTTTTGTATTACATGATAATGATTATAAATTGATAGCTTAATGTTTCGAATGATTCATTACTCTTGTGAATATATATATATATATATATATA